GACCGCGGGGTCCTCTCGGCATGAAGGAGACGATCCAGGCTTCCTGGATCGTGCCGCATCGCCGATGCATCGGCGATGCACCGGCGATGCACCGGCCATACATCATCGACGGCGATGCGTCAGCGACGTCAACATGAAGCACATCGGGCTGCACTTCGAGCCGCATGGGCGATGCATCGGCGATGCGACACGATCTTCCGAGCCCATCCACTCCGACCCCATCTAGGAGGCCTAGGCTGTCGGCATGAAGGAACGAAGGTCCTGATGGGGATTGGCGCTTGCTTGAGGACGAGAAGGAGGAGGTGGAGGAGGAGGAGGAGGAGGAGGAGGGGGAGGAGGAGGAGGAGGAGGAGGGGGAGAGCAGGAGGAGGAGGAGGAGGAGGAGGAGGAGGTGGAGGGGGATCCCGTCTGTTCTGGGAAGCGAAGGTCCTGATGGGTACTGGCGCTGCTTGGGAGCGATCCTCCGGGAGGCTCGTTGTCGCCGCGGCCGGATGCTCCGCGGGGCCGTGGTGGTCAGAGCGCACGCCAGGACGGGTGCGAGGGGCGACAACTCATCTCAGCTACGCGCAGAGGGGGGGTAGGGGGAGGGGGGAGGGCTTCTTAGAAGCACCCCTGCTTCTAAGGAGCCCTCCCCCCTCCCTCCACCCCCTTGTGCGCACCGCCAAAACTCGAGGGGCCGAGGCGGGTCGCGATGAAAGTTAAGTCGGGCCTGTCCCTCTACGGGAGGAGCATGCAGAAGCAGTAACACACATAGTCTGGGGACGATTTCTGTCGATTATGTTTCTTGCCCATTGTGGAGCATTGTTGGACTCTTTCTTATCTTTCGTCCAGGATCCGCCTGTAGGGGGACATGCCCGACCTAGCGGTAAAGAGGGGGGCTCCGAGGTAATCAAATGGGTCCTTCGGTTTTTCTGTGTTTTCGGCCCCTTGGAGCCGCTCCCGGGCCCAGGGGCCGGCAGAAGCGGCTGAGGATTACGAGCTGGCCCGAACAAGAGGCCTTGGGGTGCTGGACTCGTTGCTGCAAGGATCCTGTTTTTGTTCATGGCAAGTCGTTTTCGTCCGTGTCCTCCTTGTTCGCCTCGTCGTCGTCCTCCTCCTCCTCCTCCTCCTCCTCGTCGTCCTCTCCTCATTCTTCTCCAATTTGGGGCCGGATCCTCTCCATCCCGATGTCGCCGATGCGTCCGCGATGTCGCGCGGTCCTCCGGCCCCGTCTGCCGTCGCAGGCACTGAGCATCGCCAGGGCCGCGCGGAGCTCCTCGGTCGGCCCGGGGTCGCGGGCTGGCCCGGTCTGCCCGGGCCGGCGGAGGAAGAGAAGCCGGGTGCCGCCAGAGGGGCCCCTGATGGCCTCGTTTTCCACCACCGCCACCACCACGAGCTGGAGGGAGGGAAGGAGGAGGAGGAGGGCGAGGAGGAGGACGAAGAGGAGGGGGAGGACGAAGAGGAGGAGGAGGACGAAGAGGAGGAGGAGGAGGAGGAGGAGGAGGAGGAGGAGGAGGAGGAGGAGGAAGAGGAGGAGGAGGAGGAGGAGGAGGGGGAGGGGGAGATGGAGGAGGAGGAGGAGGACGACCCCCTCCCCCTCCAACTTATGGTGGCGGTGCCGGACAACAGGCCCATCAGCCCCCGACCCCCTCCCCCTCCAACTTATGGTGGCGGTGCCGGACAACAGGCCCATCAGCCCCCGAGCATACACTCTCGGGGCGCCGCTGGACTCTGGCATGTCCCTGCCGCGTCCCAGGCCGCCTCGTCCAGGCCCGCCGCCCGCGCCCTGGTGGGGCGGGGCGCGCGGGCGCCGAGGGAGCTCGGGCATGGGCTCACGCCTCGTCGGGTCGTCGCCGCGTGGCAGCAGAGCCCAGGCTTCTTCCGGGGCCTCCCAAGGCCAGACTCCCTGGAGTCATGAAAGCATGCGACGGAGCTTCTTGGGGCCCTCTTGGCGGTCCTGGGCGCCTCTTAGAGCGTCTTGGGTGCCTCGTGGAGCTTCTTGGGGCCTCTTGGGGGTCTCTTGGGAGCCTCTTGGAGGCCTGTTGGGCGCCTGTTGTGGCCATCTGGGGCCTCCTGGGGGCCTCTTGGGGCCTTCTTGAAGCGCTCTTGAAAGGGTTTTCGCTTCTGTGGGGTCGGCGCTAGAAACCACTTTACTCAGATTCTCCCGAGCTTCGCGTCCAAGATGAACTTAGTGCCGCGGCAGCCCGTATCGGAAAGCAGCGACGGAGTCAGGGGTCCCCAGCGCCAGACCTCGGCCGATGATTTCCCGGGGGGAGGGGGGGGGAGTGGGTAGAAGAGGTGGAGGCGGAGGTGAAGGAGGGGGTGAGGAGGAGGCGGAGGAGTCGGAGGGGAGGGAGGGAGGAGGAGAGAGGAGAGAAGGAGAGAGGAGGAAGGCGGAGGTAGGCGGAGGAGGGGGGGGAGGAGGAGAAAAGGAGCAGGCAGCATGAGAATGAGAGTAGAAGGTGGATAGAGAAGGGAGTGGAGAGAGGAGGAGGAGGAAGGAGGAGGAGGAGGGAGGAGGAGGCGGAGGAGGCGGGGGGAGGAGGAGGAGGAGGAGGGAGACCCCGTCGGTTCTGGAAAGCGACTTGGAGGTCGACCCCGTTGTTGCTGGACACCTCCCCCAGCGGCGAGATTTCGATGGATTCCGATTCTGACTCGATTCGATTTCGGATTCCCATGTGGGCTCCGATTCCTTATTGGACACATACTTGCCTGCCGATTTCCGCCGATTCGACTGTTCCCGACTCGGCTGCCGATTTCCGCCGATCCGACTTATTTCGATCGCCGGTCCGACATTGATTCGATCCTGGTCTCCCCTGTCCTACGGTAGGTTCGCGTCGTGTCGACCGGCGGCGACCCCGCCGCGGGCGTTCAACCTGAGAGTCTCGTTCTTGATCGCCTTGCCAACGTCGGCCGCTGCCCTGCAGCAGCACGTTGCAAATGTTGCCAGCTGCCTCAGTTGTGTCTTCGCCATTCTCGTCGCTGATGATGTGGCTGCTCGCGTCTGGTCGGTACTCTTCTGTTGCTCCTCCTTGGTGTTCTTCTTGGCTGACGTGTAGGCCGGATCGTGCGTCAGCTTCAAGCGTCCGCCCCCTAGTCGGTCCGCGAAGAGTTGCCGTGCTGCTATCTTCGTAAGCTCATCCGCATACTGTCTCCCGGCTAGTACCCATCTTCACTGAATGTTGGTCGCCCCCATCCGTTCGCGTAGTTCGAGCACGTCGATGCTGGTCCTCTTGTCCTCAAAGCTCGTGATGATTTCCTTCTCGGCCGCGTCGTAGAGGGCCTTCGCGTCTATCAACAGCGCTGACTCCAGCGTAGTGACGTCCTTTGTGATGTCTACGTCTGGATATATCAGGGTCGCCCAGAACCGCTTGGCGATCTCGAGGGCGTCCATACCTGTTGATGCTGCTTATGACCCCTCATGTAGAGAAGATCCCGCAATGCGTACTAGCTTGAACGACTTCCAGTCGACCGCTGTGAAGATGGACTCAGATCCTCGTAGCACATTCTCATGGCACGCTCAGATGACGTAGCCTCATCAACTAGGTCCGTCGTGTCGAACTCCCCAGGTTGCGTCCGTCATAGCCACGAGTATGATGCCGCCGATCTGACCGATCATGCGCATCTTGAGTCCGATGCCCGCGTCGAGCTTGTAGAACCGCAGCGTCTCGTTGCACTCCTTTGCTGTGGCTACGATCGCCGTCAGTAGGTGGCCTTGATGAAAGCTGACCAGTGCCGAAATGTGTGGGGAAGCCTGTGAGCTGGGCGATTGTAGTGCTCCGTGTAGGCCTCGTAGAAGGCTCTCCTCCTTCAGGTTGAGGTCTCTCTGGTGGACGCCGTTTTTCTGATCGAGGGTAATCGGCTTCAGGTTCTTGGCGTAGGTGGTCATCTTAACTTCCGTCTGATCTAGGTCGGCTCCGCAGTAGTCCATCTTGCCGTCCTCGATCCACTTCCTGGACATCCACTTTCTTAATGTGAGCTGTTGCTTGACCTTCTCGATGATCTCGCTGTAGTTGCGTCAGGATCTCAGGTCTCCACCTCCGAAAACATCGTCGACGTACTATCGTATGAACCCACCACTGTTGCCGTCCTTGTCGACACTCGTGAGCAAACACGGTTCCAGAGGATGCTGCTTGAGTCCGCATGCTTTGAGATCGTTCATTGCACATTGCCGCCATCGTCTGGGGGCTCCCACTTGGCCGTTCATAGGCTTGATAAGTTTCATGAGAGTCTCGGCGTCGACTTCCATGAGCTCCGCGGCGTCCTTGGGAATCTTCGCGTATCAGAACTCTCTCTGGCGGTCGTTCCTGAAGAAGCGTTGTCGCCACATCTGCCGTCCACAACCTCCAACCGTTGTTTGTTGCGAGTGGTAGGCCGTGCTGACGTGCCAGTCTAGATGCCGTAGGAGGAGGAGGAGGAGGAGGAGGAGGAGGAGGAGGAGGAGAAAGAGGAGGATGAGGCGGGGGAGGAGGCGGAGGAGGAGGAGGACGAGGAGGAGGAGGAGGAGGACGAGCAGGAGTGGGGGAGGAGGAGGAGGCGGGGGAGGAGTAGGGGGAGGAGGCGGAGAAGGAGGAGGAGGAGGAGGAAGAGGAGCAGGAGATGCCGTCGGTCGTCTGTGTCGTTGAATCCTCTGCAGTACGCGACGTGCTTCTCCGCCCTGGGCGTGCCCTCGTCTCTCCTTGCCCCAACTCGAGTACCCACAGTAGCCTTCGGGATCCGCGCTGGGTCCTCCCGGCCTGTCGCGTTTTGCTCCTTCCGCTGGCCTTCCACTAATGCTGCTCTCCCGTCGGGTTTTATGTCGCGGGCTGATGCAGCCGACTAGATGTCGTTGAGTTCGGCATGCGTGCCGTCGAAGTCCTGTCCGAACGGTAGGCCGCTGTCCTCCAGTACGGGCTGCAAGGTTGCGAGCTCGTCGTCGGCGCTGTCGGGTACTGGTATCGTTGAGCTGCGAGATGATTCGGGTAGAGGTGGTCCTCGGTATACTCGGTCAGGCCGTCGGAAGATCGTTGCCTTGGCCGCGT